CTCTTACAGGTCTGCCGATCACGTTATTAGTTGTATAAATCATTTTGTCTTCAAGGATCGATTAATGTTTTAAGTGACTTGTTTCAATAAATTCAGTATAAATTAGTTTCAGTTGATGCATTATCACTTTTGTTTTTTAGATCGAAGTGGTCATTTTCAATTTGTTTCCGTTGAGACATTTTAATGGATGAACAAACGAACAGATTGCATGAGTGATGGTTAACACATTTGTTTCATATGATGCACTCTTTCCTGGTGAGATCTTCATTTGAGATTTTGAAAAAAAGTTAATTTGACTAAAACAAAAGCACAACAGTTATAAACGAAACCTTCAAAACATATACTCTGGTGTGTTTTACCTAATAAAGTAATATTGCGCAAGAGAGTACAGTAAAAAACAACAAAAACAAAACAACAAAAATACAAACACACCAAGATATAAGTCATAGACGAGAGATCAAAGTTGGACACTGCTACATTTTATGTCATTTTAAAAATGTCATTTAGAAAAATTAAAAATTAGTTTACTTAAATGTAATTTTATATTTTTAAAAAGTTAAATAGTCTAGGTGTGAGAGAAAGAAAATGGTAAATAAGAAGGAGATAGTGGGATCTTGATCACTACTTAATATAAAAGTTGGCCGTGTAACAGAACCATGACGTCTTGGGCTTGTTGAAACTTCATAAAATCACTTGCTGTATATGTGTATATGTGCGTATATATCACAAAACACTCAAACACATTTGTACGATATTTATAAACCTCTGTTTAGTGCCGTTTCGGACTCCGTTTAGTTGTTGTGTCTTTCTTATCACGGTCAAAATGCAATATTGCAAAAACACAACAAAGTAAAACTTTTTCGTGTTTGCGCATTTTCGTTTTTTTTCTTTCAATTTCGCACTGTTGCATTTTCGCTGCGCTGTTTTGATTTGTTGTGTTGTCACATTTTCGTTTTGTTGAACTGTTGCATTTAAGAGTTCTAATTGACGTCAATATTGTATGTGGTTTGGCATACGTCATATTTACAAATGCACAACTGTAACGAAAGATATGTAAAAGGGAACATTGTGAAAGGTGAAAAAAGCAATTATGTGAAAATAAGACAAAGCACAATACTTGAATCGCCCTTTCGCTTTTTCTCCTCGAGAAAGTACATCGACCATTTGTTTTTATCCCATCTTTGTGTTTTTTGCATTTTTGTGCCAAAAGAAGTAAATATATGACACATGGTAAAGCTGATATCATATCTTAAGATATGAAACGAAAGAGCAGACTCAATGATTTGATTACTTATTTCTGTTTAAATATAATTTATTGCTTAGTTAATCCTTCATTTACAGATATATAACAGTAATTACTATCTTGCGCATCGGTCGAATGTTTCACTATCGACCACTTTGTGTATTCAATGAGCTGCGAAGGAACTGAACTAGAAATATATTTTTTAATTCTAAAATGTCAAAAAGTTACTCGTATCTCAGTGTCAAACGTTTGTTATAGAGCATGACAATTTAAACGAGAAAACATATATTATAATCAATCTTTTTAATATTAGATTCTGTGTATATATGTAATTATACAAAACAAAAGCATATGCAGTTTCCCTTTATAATATCGAAACAAAATGTAATTTGCTGAATGTCTGTAATGCAATTTCGAGTCTTATGTTTGCTTTGTTTCAAAACTCGTCACCTGCACATGTGCATCTTGTATATATGGCAAAAATTATATATCAAATATACAACCTTCATAACACAGAAATGCGTTAGATCGGCGATGCACATATATTCCGAAATATATTGACAGCCTTGTATAAGCTATCAGAAATCGGGAATTAAAACAGCAATATCTAATAACTATTTTTTCACGATAAATTAATTGTACATAGACCAATATTGAAACATGAATTCATTGATCATGGCGAGTTATCATTGTGACCCTTTGTACACAGCAATACACACAGGTAATATACTTCTATTTAACTAAAGTCAATGACAAAATCTATTAAAAATAATATACTAGTAGAAGTAATTATAATTCGGTTCTTATACGGATTTTTACATTTTGTTACCGCTAATTTTGTATTTAATAAAAATATTTCAAAAACTCGAAATGTTACATATAACAGCGTATTATTTATTGTCATACCTTGAAATCAAGTTACTTTCCTTTTCACTTTAGTTTTCATGTCTCACATTTAACTTCTGAAGCTTAAAAAAATATCTATATTCATTCATCATTCATTTAAGTTAACCGCGTTTCAATAATCTCAGTTAGTCAATCACGTTGTGCATACATTGGATGGTAAACATAGATTTGATTCATTCAAGCTATAAATAGACTGATATACAATGGAGTCAACTATTAGTAATAGTTACCGTACGAGGAATAGGTCTGCATAGTATTTACAGACCCGGGTGGCGATTTGAAGACCGAGAGAGCGTAGCGATCGAGGTTTTTAAAAGGCCACCGGGTCTGTAAATACTTATGCAGACCTATTTTCCGAGTGCGGTAAACTATCTGGGACCACATGCTCGATTTGTTTTTCTATTCAACACGAGAACACATGTATTTATTAATATTGCTCACACGAGAACACATTACTCATTATCTACAATAACGCCTACACAAGAGAGCAGCGCAGAGGAGAGAGCAGGAGGGCAAAAAGATACCATCCGCTAGCCTCTTGTAATTCATCCTCGTTCACAATCAGGCTGTGTATTTGAATAACTCGTGAATTTTCGAGCTGAGAGAGAGCAGAGCGCGAGCACGATAAACTTAGTTTGGTTTTAACCCGTTTTTAACCCTAGGGCATATTGTTTTTGCAGTTTCTCACTTAAATAAAACTGATTTTAGTTGTTTAGAAGCGGAAACTAAGAAGGTTTAGCAAACGAACCAAAACTGCCATCCAGGTGAAGTTTTGATGCGGTTTAGGGTGTCCGAACATACATGCACTTTCCTGGAAAAATGGCGGCAGCCAAACATGAAGGAATGTTGGACCAAATTCAAAATCGAAAAAAAAAAAAAATTAATTGACAATGAGCATAATTTTTTAAACATTTTTAAGCGGAACAGTAATGTTAGCTTATTAGTATGCAAAGTTTTGTATGACACAGCTTATATATTGCTTTATAAGTATAACTTTGTGATGTTGCATTTATAATCTAGAAGTATAGACGAAACGTACTCGAAGTCTCTAACGTACCCAGCATTAAAAAAAGTCAAAGTAGAGTTCTACTTAACATATATATCACAAAATATTCTCTTTCTATATTTTAGTTTTAAATATTTAAAAAGTAGCTATATATGTGATGAAATTAAGTATTCTTTAATAATTTACTTCTCACTCTCAGTCCTGTAATAAATTACGTTGAATTATTATTTTCTAAGGATTGAAGTCCCAAAATGTGTAAGTAAAGGCTATTATTTAGAAATCATATTTTGATGTAAGGTATTAAAGATGGTGATTGAATTAAGCTTAAAGGTGAAGGTAACCAACCGGCCACAGACACCCCTAAAATACTTTGTGATATGTACTGTAATATTTAAGTGGCAATGCAATACGTATCACAATTACTGTCATCCTTGGAAGTCAATTCCTAACCTATATATGTCAGTGTTAGAAAAAGAGTAATAAATTATTAATAACCATTTAATGACATTTTTTTTTAAATGACAAGTTGTATGTCAACTAGGGTCTTACTGGGCTCCTTGCCATTGGTTCTTGTTGCTGGGTCATATGGGGGTTGCGTTCATTGAACGCCGCCTTTCCTTGTTGATCTTGTTTATCATATTTTACTACCTCACACGCAGCCTAAATTGTAATGAAAGATGACAAATATATCATAATAGGAATATTCATCGCATTATTTAATCTAACAAGTCACAATTAGTATATGTTTGACATTTCCATTTCCTGGAGTGCTTTTCTGTATAAACAATAGTGCACATATAACGAAGGTGCATTGCAAGGTAAAAAAACATATTGCTTCACCTTGTATGGCCATTGGCATTTTGTTTGTGATGCATACATTAGTTGAATAGTGGATTGCGATGCATGGATGAATCCTTATACCTCTACAATTAATCTGTTAATCAATTTTAAGGTGGTGTGAAATAACTACAGACACTGAAAATGCCAGATAATTAAAGCGATGCTTTTGTTATAGCGTATTATCTAGGAAACAGTCGGTTAAAAATAGTGTGATTTTTCGATGGTCAGGGTCAAAAGCACTGACACCTTTGCTTGTGTTAACATGCTGGTCTGTCACACTTACCAGCCGTTGACCTGCGAGGCCTAAAATATATTTTAATACATATTTCCTCTAATATCCTTATTAAATTACTATTGCAGATAAATTTACTTATATTTTCAGAATCATGGCAATTGGGCCGTTATGTACAGTCGTGCCTAAACAGTTTCATTGGTATTTGTCGCCAGCTACATTAAAATCATACTTGGCTTGTAATGAAACCTACGGCAATGAACTTAGAAATCTGTAGAGCCTGCTGACATTCCCGTCATAGTAAAGAACTACAGTGAAGTAGTGTATGATGGTGTTTTTTAGACATGTTTAGTTACGACATGTGAGTTATTTCTCAGATGTGAGAAGGTGGAAATTAATATTGTTCTAGGTTTTTTCACAACTGATCATATTTTCATTAGAGATTCTTTATTTTACTTTTAAGACTTGTAGGAAAAAGTGTACAGTGTACAAGATTAATTAAGAAAATTTCTTTTCTGTTACATGTGTTGTTATGTTTATAACATTCAGTTAAATAAAAGAGAAACACAGCTTATGAATGTTTTCTTTTTAATTTTGACTAAATCAGTTATGTATTATCTTATCTGTAAATAATACTGCCACTTGGTATACACCATAATGCATGTACTGTTCAAAGTTACAAAAGGTCGGCAATGGCTTTTTGTTTCACGTCAGCTGACGCACATGTTTTACAAATGTCCATAAAATTGTTGACCTCTTCGTTGTCCTCGGCGCTATCCTGTATGAAATCCAGGTTGATGAAGACAACAACAACTTAGTACAACATGCACAATAGCTTTGATGTCTGTCAGATCCACAAATTTCAGTCTGCGAAAACGTCCTTTAAGAGCTCCAAAAGCTATTTCTATGCAGACTCTTGTTGAACTATGTTTGTAATTGTACCTTTTCTGGATTTCATTGAGGTTTCCAAAGTCCTTAAAAGGTACCATTAACCAGTTGGATAGTGGATAGGCTGAATCTCCAAGTAGATGTGTGTTGATGGGAAACATGTAGATTTCTTCACTTTCAGCTGCTGAAGCACTCTTGAATAACGGGGAATTTCTAAGGACTCGTGCATCGTGCACTGACCCAGGCCACCCGCAATATACATCTAAAAACTTAGGGTTACAGTCGCAAACTGCTTGAAGTATCAAGGAAGGGTAACCTTTTCTGTTAATATAGTTTTCTGGGAATTATGTTGGGGTGCGGATAGGGATATGACTTCCATCAATCGCTCCAATGACACCTGGAAAACCATTGATTTCCTGGAATCCATCTACAGTTCTATCAGCTGTCCGTTTCTCTGGCCATTTCACTAAATCTGGTAGCAAGTGTTTACAAATTTTCTCTGAAATTTCATGAATGCATTTGTGAACAGAATACTCGCATACCCCAAATATATCTGCCAAAGCTTGATACGTCTGTTGTGTTGATATATACTTGACATATATTAGCAGTTTCTTTTCAACGCATATTTCCCCTTTACCTATGTATGGAATCATTTGTTCTACTAACGAGTCGAATGTTTCCCTACTGATTCGGAATCTGTCCTTAAAATCATCAACACTATAATATGGCAATACTCCCTCCACATAGTTCTGGATTCGTTTTTTTCTTTCTCTAAATGTTGTGGTGGCAACAGCCATGCTACAAACTGTGTTCCTGGTTATTTTTTGTAGCAAAAGAATATTGTCATCGTATTCAGAACACATTAATTCTTCTAAAATTAGATATCTGGATACATTGTCAACCATTTTTACTTGATAAACCCACAGTTTGGTGATTAAAACTAAACAGGTTTCAGGTTGATCCTAATAACACTAAACTGCAAACCTATAACATGAACTGGTTTATCGGCAACAAATGCGCTCAAATGTACTTGTTGAGTTGAGTCACAGAAAACAAGTACAAATGTTGCTGCAATGCAGCAATTGAGAAGCTCCGCGCAAAAAAAATGCGCTCATTACAGATACCTTACCAAATTATTCCTACGCACAGGTCATGTTATATTCAGATTATGCACTGTCCATCATTAAAAAATGAAAGATATTTAATATAAAAAAAATGCTTTCACTGATGCCTACCTGGTAAGGAAAGGAATTCCATTGAATACAAACAAGACTTACAAGACTTGTAAATGTTATGTGACATGACTGTACTATGTTCTGTTTTTGTGTCACTACTGTAGTCAGTAACATAAGATGATAAAAATATCAAAGTCTGTTTTTTTGGCCGGGTTGCACTGGTGCAAACCCGGGTTATAGTACGGTGAATGTAGGGCGGCGGGCGGGCGGTGGGCGGTCAGGGAAAAACTTTCGTAACAGTTTTCTCAGCAACTACTTATTACAGCCCCTTTGTATTTTTCATACAGCATTGACACTTGGTCCCATACCGTGGGATTCGATTTCAGGCCTGTCGCCTATCCACTTCCTGTTTATCGACTTAGTTAAATGTTCAACATAAATGGTAATATTCAACATTAAAGGTCAATGGTAGGAAATTTTCGTAACAGTTTTCTCAGCAACTACTTATTACAGCCTCTTGATATTTGGTATACAGCATCAACACATAGTCCCATACCGTGGGATTTGATTTCAGGTCCGTTGCTCATCCACTTCCTGTTTGCCAACTTAGTTAAATTTTCAACATTAATGGTCAATGGTAGGAAATTTTCGTAACAGTTTTCTCAGCAAGTACTTATCACAGCCTCTTGATATTTGGTATTAAGCATTGACACGTGGTCTCATACTGTGGGATTCGATTTCAAGTCTGTCGCTCATCCACTTCCTGTTTGCCAACTTAGTTAAATTTTCAACATTAATGGTCAATGGTAGGAAATTTTCGTAACAGTTTTCTCAGCAACTACTCATCACAGCCTCTTGATATTTGGCACAGGGTAGCATACGGTGGGATTAGATTTCAAGTCTGTCACTCATCCTTTTCCTGTTTATCAACTTAGTTAAATTTCCGACATTAATGGACAATGGTGGGAGGAAATTTTTGTAACAGTTTTCTCAGCAACTACTTATCACAACTTCTTGATATTTGGCATACAGCGTTGACCCATGGTCCCATACTGTGGGATTCGATTTCAGGTCTGTCGCTAATCCTTCCTTTTTACCGACTTAGTTAAATTTTTGACATTAATGGTCAAAGGTTAACATTTTTTGTAACATCACAGCCTCATGATATTTGGTATACAAATGCAACGCGGCCTTTTCTGTCTTTGACCAATTTTTTTTCTTTAATGAGCAAGCACTTTGTCATGTTTATTTTTAGCAAAGAAGCAGATTTATTTTGCATATCTCTACAAGTAAACAGTAATTTTATTGTAAAATGTAAATGTATAATTGGCCAGGTTGCACTGGCGCAAACCCGGGTTATAGTATGGTGAATGTTGGGCGGCGGGCGGGCGGGCGGGGAAAAACTTTTCGTAACAGTTTTATCAGCAACTACTTATCACAGCCTCTTGATATTTGGCATACACCATTAACATGTGGTCCCATAATGTGGGATTCGATTTCAGGTCTGTCGCTCATCCACTTCCTGTTTGCCGACTTAGTTAAAACATTACACTTCATGTTCAAAATGCAGATCAAAGTTTCTGTTGTTATCAATGATGCTATCTATCTATAGCCTATGCTTAATGAGGGTCCATCCACTCGTAAGGCCACAAAATGCAGGTTTCGCTGTCGAGTACGGACCCTCGGACATGTCACCAATCATACCCTTAATGAGTGAATTTTGAAGTACAAAGTGGTATGCTGTATCATTGACGCTAATGAAATGTAACCTTATATACTAAAGTTTAATTTTTCAAAACAACCAGTATATCAACATGTTATTATTAAACATTTAATTTCATAAATATAAATTAAGAATTATTATCAAAAGCAAAATTATTAAAGTTTTATGCCTGAAATCTTCTTTATATTGACACATTCAATAACTAATAGTATACTTGATATGCTGTGTGTAAATGTAATTCACAATGTAACAAATTATAATTTCATGTACTACTAAAAAAGGGAAATAACAAATGTATAACCTAAGTGTCAAAAATCAGAACATTTAAAGCTATTTATAGCTTTCGAATTCATGTACAGCAGAACTGCTTTCCTGTTCTCATTCATTAATATGACATGTTGCGAATCACCAAAGGGGAAACCAATATAGAAATCGAAAGGAGTTCTTGAATGCGGATTTATTTTTAGCTGTAAATCGAAAGGATTAAATGATCAAATCCGGGCCCATGGACAAAAAAATAGTAAACACAAATAGCTCCGCGCCTGTTGGCGCGGGGCAATGAAAACAGAACTTGTCGGTAGGGAAAGGTAAGATCATTATTTTGATATATGAATACATAACATATTAAATAATATAAACAAATACTGAGGAAGATAAAAAAATGTTTTCTAATCATAAAAACGGAACACTTTATCTTTATATATAATAAATTTCATGGTAAATAGATGATCAGACTATTTCTTATAAAATTAAAATATACTATTTTTTCAAAGGAAAGTAAAAGACGGGGTTCTATGAATAAATATTAGTAATACATGTTGTTACACCGTTATGTAAGTTGGGTTTTGTTGGTTTTTTTTATGATGGCTGATTTTAAATGTTCTTAGAATTTCATCCATGTTTGGAAGAATTTTCTTTCCGTGTATTCATCCGTTATAAGACCACATGTAAGTACGCGGTCTAGAATGGAAGCGCAAGTCGTATTCTTGGTACTGGTATACAAAATCCAAATTGTAATGTAAAAATAACTGGGAAAAAAATTAGAAAAACGGTCTTATACTTAAGATGAACTATACTCTCACTGAAAGCAATATTTTGGGAAACAGAAGTTGACTTTGATTCGATATGCACCAATAATATAATCGTCGTATATATCCCATAATGCAGAATTGTTAAAATAATGCAGGATTGTGCAATTGTGGAAATAAATACCGAAAACTAGTATCTTATGAAGCTATATAGTTCGGCAAATGTGTTAGGTATACCGAAAAGCAAACTTTAAAGAAAGTCTTAATGTGCGTTGTTATACTCATTAATATCGGCGAAACACAAAACTTCAACGCCAAAACAGTAGCCGGTTCGTTTTTCTCACAAACAATCTGGAATATAAGTTATGAGGGTCCTAACAGCCGTATGCGCTAATTTATTTCAATTAATCTTTAAAATATATATCGACTCTTTTTCCTACTCAAAGTAGTCATTACCCCCCCCCCCCCTCCCCCACAATTCAGCGTTCTTTTACGGTGAATATTGTGTACGTAATGCACGAGTTTCTCGACTTCACATATTTTCTATTGCATAGAGAACAATAGAACAATAACCGGTCGGTATCTATTTGCAGACCTGTTAACCGGGCGGTAAGTGATTTACTAGACCGCTTTTAACAAAGGAGCCGGTAGGTAATTAGGTATACCCATACATGTATATAATGTTAGTCCTATTTAATTATTTAGTTCTCATCAATGGTCAGATGTGACCTGATAGGGTAATTATTATAATAAAACTTATTTGTATGCATATGTTCATGGACAGTTCACCATTTTTATGTGTAAAAAATGTAATATTACGCTTAAGCCGGTGCTAGAGGCGTGGACAGTCGCTTGCAGTATCCAGTACCGTCCATGAATATGCTCAATCAAATCGAGCCTGCAACATTTTAAATTTTGCCGTTTTTTGGGCTCCTTAGAAATTTTGATTTTTCTCTTTTAGACTGATCAGCATATTCACATTACATAAATAAATTGGGACAGTTTAATAGTTTCGATTGATTATGAAATAAGCTCGATTCTAGTGTAATCGTCTCGTTTTGTATTATTCATTATTTTGACTTGAATAACTTCAGTGATGTTATATTTTTTTTTGGTCCATCAAGAGCATTGATTGTAGCACTTTTAAGTGTTAAAATACTGCTCCAGCAAGTGTTATAGGGCGTGAGGGATGTTGCACGTTTTGACTGTACCTCATGTACAGGCTCAAACAAACCGAGTCTGTAATTTTCGTGTTCTTTTGTTGTTTTGTTTTTTTGGGGTGTGGGGGTGAAAACCGTTGCACAAGTTGAGCTTTTTAAGCGCTTGTGCCATAAACAAATATTGTTATAAATACGTTATTTGAAAATACGTATAAAACATCACCAACTCCTGTACAAGCTATACTTGGAAACCGAATTAAGATAGCAGAATGACCTTGGTCTAAAGTCTTACAAGCTTAAAAACAATAACAGGGGTTGAAACCACCTCAACTGCTGGATCTCAGAGATGCATAGACTTCAATTGATCGAACTTATTTAGTCGCCTCTTACGATCACACACGGATAAACGGTGGCTGCAATTCTTTTGCATCAACTTTTAAAGGCTCTGTCACAAGGGGTCATAATATCAAGTGGTGAATGTTTGTTTTATTGCTATCTAACGGTTTAAACTTCTAATACACATCTTGGTTGATAAAAACATAATTATTCCATATAACAGTGTCCTTTTAACCTTGATTATACTGCTCTATTCAGTAAAACAGGTAAACGAACGTTCAAATATGCGCTTGAACTGTTTGTCATATTTTTATTATTGATCACAATAATTTGCCATTTTAATAGCTTCTTTGAAGTTGAAATTGAAATTAGGTA